GTACAATTTCTCATGACTAACAGGGCTCTTCAGTAGTAGGCTGACGTACGACAGAGACTACTTATGACTCTTACTAATTGTCATAACATAGAAAACAATGAGAGGAAACTGGTTGCGCTGAAACTTGAGAGGTATTGTATGATTGTGAGCCTAGAAATAAAAATCTTATCACCAGCTCTGACACCTGTTAAAATTCTACATTCAAGGACATGACTGATGAGTTTAGTAATAACCAATTGTGTATCTGTTGACCACAAAATTCGAACAACAAAAACTTAATCACATACACAACTGGTTTAATAACATGTGTAAGACAAAACATTGAGAAATATTTGGTTTGAACGATTGAATACGAATTATTATTGAATGCTTGTATTCGGCACGATGGTGTTACTGCAGACACAACAGTTGGCGGTATACAATAATAAATCAATGAAGTTAAATTGTACAACCTTCTTTTCTTTTAAAAAAAAAAATAATAATAATATACAACCCCTATCTATTTGAATCAACTTGAAAACAAAAATGGCTGCTAAACATTAATAATAAATAATTAGGCCGAGATTTATAAATCAACTTGAAAAGTTTATTTTTAGGCCCTCAATACTTCCACAGTTTTGTCGAGTCCCAACTAATATATAAAATATAGTTCATTAATACTGGAAAGCAATAATTACGATTGAATTAAATAAATCATTAAACAATAAAAATTGTTGGATCACATTACCATATTACTAATTTCAACCCATACTCAAAATATAATATTTGGGCCGAATTTAAAGAATTGTGTTGTTTGTTTAAAAGCCTCAATTTTTTTGTCCATTTATTAATCATATTGGGCTTAAAATATGCATCACAACTTTCATATCTGGCCCGGTCAACGGAAGGGTAGAGAAACCCTAGGTTTCATAACCAGACCACCGCAGCGAACGCATCATTTTCATTTTCCATTTTATCTGCAAACCTCTAATCTTTCATCTATTTTCTCTCCTCACATTTTTTGAACCAAAGTTTCCCCGAGAATCATCCAAAAAACTTGAGATTTTTCTGTTCTACAATCAGATCCAAGGAAAAAAAACACATGACGAATGTTATTTTGAAACGGAAAAACAGATCGAACATCAAACTTCGACCTGATTTTGAATCTCGGTTTGCGGCACTATAGCAAATCGGTGAAATCGGTCGAAAATATTGCTGATAATATTGGATATTTCATCCTCATTCTCTATTTTTTTTTTTATTTCATGAATTTTCATTTTACAAATATATATATATTTGTTTAATATTTTCGTAATTGTATCTGGACACAAAATCGCCGAGAAAGTAGGTATATGTGGTTAGAATATGTGGGAAACACCACAACCACTCACTCTCGGTGGCAAAACATCTAAAAGTGTTTGCACTGTA